TCTCCCATCACCCTCGCCCGCCCCATACACTGAGGGCTCTTCCCTCCTCATTTATCCTTTGTTCAAGAGAATCTGGGATGTTTTCAGCTCTGCTTCTAACTGATGCCCGGCCCAGGAATCTGCGTCCCTGGGATTGCTGTAGAAGAACACCACTGGAGAACATGTCACACGGCCGTCAGCGTCTGTGTGTGTGCACGTTGTTTACATAGCAGATAATTAGGAAGTTTTCCTGTAATTTCAGAAGTATATGGGTATATAACTATGTCATGACTTTCTCCTATAAATAAGAAAGAAGCACATTCATAGTATATACAGTGTGAGTGGAATCGTACGGTTATTACTTAACTAACGCATCTCAAAAGTGCAGCACAAAATACCTTTCCCTGACCGTTGTATTTAAAGCGGCCTTCCCCCATGCACACAATATCTGATTACTCTGTTTATTTTCCTTCCTGTGCTTTTCATAATCTGAAATTAGCTTCTGTGTGATGATAATGTATTTACTTATTTATTGCTGTCTTTTCTTTCTAGAATGTTAGGCCCTTGAGGGCAGGAACTTTGTGTCTAGCACACAGTAGATGCCTATTGACTTTTAAAAATATATGTAATGAAGCAATCATTTAGATAGCGCCAAGGTCACGATGGCTCAGACATAAAGTATTTGGCTCTTAAAATGATGGAGGCACGAATGATTGGTTGGCTTACATTTAGTTACTATAACTTACTAGTGAGGCCAAGAATAACCCTTTAATGTCTGAATGGTATAACAATTTTCTGGGGAAATAAGAATTTAAAAATAATATTTAAAATGCTGGCTGGACACGGTGGCTCACGCCTGTCATCCTAGCACTTTGGGAGGTTGAGGTGGGAGGATCCCTTGAGCCCAGGAGTTTGAGGCTGCAGTGAACTACGATGATGCCACTGCACTCTAGCCCAGGTGACAGAGCGAGATCCTGTCTCCAAAGAAAAACAAAAAGGAAATTTTTTTATTTGCCAGTATCCTAAAGTTATTTCTCCATTCATAATTTACTCATTTAGTACATTTGATAGAATGTCTACTCTGTACCCGTTACTAGGGACACAAAAAAGAACAACCTCCCTGTCCTGTTAGGGAAGAGTCAGATGAACCCACGTAACCCAGGGTTCCACGTGCAATGAGGGGATTAACCCCAAGTTAGGGTTTCAAGGGAGAGACGTCTAAGATGGGACCGAATTAGCCAGTCCATGAAGGGTATAGTTTGAGTAAGAAGAAGATGGGGTGAGGGTGGGTTGGAGGAAGAGGAAAAAAGTGGTTCCAGGTAGATGAAATAGCATCTTGAGAGGTCTGGAGAAGAGGACATAGCTTTGCCTGGAAGGGAATGTAAATGGTCCAGATGGAAATTGTGTGCAATGCAGCTGGGAACGTGGGCAGCAGCTGAGATGTGAAGGGACTTCCAATGTGTTCCACTATACCTGAAGGACAATGGAACCCACAGAGGAGGAACATGGCCAGAGTTTTAGGGTACATGGGTGATTTGATGTATTTATGATTCAAGACCAACCATCCATCCTATGATTGCTTGTTTGTTTCTGTAGTTGCAATAGGGGAGGGTGCAGGAGTGGCCCAGGACAGAGCCGTCCTTATTAATATAAAAAAAATCCCTCAAAGTGCATAGCTTACTACATGACACAATTAATCGATTAACACCTTATAAAGAACCATCCTCCATTACACTTTTATTTATTTATTTTTTTTGTCTTTTCCTTCACCTCATTTTCCTATTTCAGAACAACAAAGTGACCCTCTTCCGCCAGCTGCAGCAGATGACATACAGCCTGATCGAGTGGCGGTCCCAGATCCTGTCTGGGACGCTCCCCAAGGACGAACTGGCAGAGCTCAAGAAGAAGGTCACAGCCAAAATTGATCATGGGAACAGGTAAACCAGGGGTGACTTCTCACTGAAAACTCAGAAAATGTTGGGCATGTTCATACTAAGGACACTGTTTACAATGAACTTTTTATCTTAGAGTTGCCAAAGGTAATGCTCACTGCTCTTTTTTTCTCTTAGAAGACATTTAATTTTGTTGAAAAAAATTTTGAGTCCGAGCACGGTGGCTCACGCCTGTAATCCTAGCACTTTGGGAGGCCGACGTGGGAGGATGGCTCGAGGCCAGGAGTTGGAGACCAGTCTGAGCAAGAGCGAGACCCCGTCTGTACAATAAAATAGAAACACTAGCTGGGAGTGCTGGCGCACACCTATAGTCCCGACTACATAGGAGGCTGAGGCAGGAGGATCACTTGAGCCCAGGAGTTTGAGGCTGCAGTGAGCTGTGATGACACCACTGCGCTCTAGCTGGGCAATAGAGTGAGACTG